GCAGAGTCTATCAACAAGGGTGTCACACAATAAACTTAATAACTATTTATTTTGTGATGGCATTTCAACCATAACACCTAAATTCCCCAATTGTCTCTCTTTAATTCAGACAAGTTAAAATGCATCTTTTCCATGTCAACTTCATCTCTCTCTCCCTTCTAAAATATTGCTTACAATATTTTTATTCACATTATGCTGCTTCTTTTCAAAACATTTAAAAACATTGTCCTAATTACAATTCTAAGGCAACATTTTAGCATTGTAATCCTAAAAGAGTCTTAGAGACAATTCCATTTTATCAGATATACTTCTAATTTATATATTATACTATTAACAACTTTAAAAGCCCACAAAGGCACATCCTTGCCAGGTTTAAAAGGGAATGTATTTAATCACATTGGCAAGTGTTTTACTACTTTGTTATATAATTACTTAATGGCCTCTCAGTTTGTAGGAGGAAGTACAATCTATATTTACATGAAAATGTTACAATGCACTATAAAATTAAGCACCACAAAGTCAAAGTTGTACTGACACATATATATTTATTTTAGGTGACAATAGCAAGAGTTGGATTGGAAAGGACAAAGTGTAAAATGGCTTAGGTTACGCTGACGTATAAGCAGTCTCCCTTCCAGATGACCATAAAGTTGTCAGCATGCACAAAAGCACTCAGGAAACTTGCCTTCATCACCACATAACAAGCAGTGGCACATTTGAGATGGTTTACAGGAAATAAAATAAATGGTACGGTCTCAATCTCTTGTACCAAGTATGGCTTGTTTGATAAAACAGATTGATAGCCTTGTCAAATCACAGTAGGCAAACAGTGACAATTTTTATTTAATATGTACATACCAAGTGTACCATTTCATTTTATTACCTGAAATGGCCAAGCTCTAGAGTGGAAAAGGGGGACATTTTCTGACAGCAGATTTAAAGTGTTTTAAATTAGACTTAATACCTTTCTCAGTTTAATCATCTATGAAGTACCAATTTTTAAATGTGTTTAAAATGAATAGAGGTGAAAGGGGCATGGTTCATTCTGCAATTTGACATAAAAGTGAAATCCACACAACTATGAGGGTACAGATCATTTTTACTTTGAAACAAAAGTCCATCATTGTTAACTATGAGGGATGGATACTGTGAGGTGCAGAGCACCATCAACTCCCATAGACTCCGGTGAGATACAAGATTGAATAGTAAATCATAGCATCAGGTCCTAAAATTAACAGGGTTGAAAAATACCTATATTTGGCCCATGATTCTATAGTCCTTTCCAAAACAATCACTGAGCATGTGCATACCTAGTCATTTCTTTGTAGAATAAAACAAATTCATAATAAAAGATTAGGAACATGACTGTTGTATGAAGTTAAAGACATTTGATTAAGAAATTTCTTATGCACGTGTATTTTTACCTTAAGCTGCAAATTTTATTATTTAAAGATTTGGTAGGAAGAAAAATGTGTATTATGCAAATGTTGGGAAGACGGAAAGTCAGTTTAATTATGGAATAATGCATTTGTTAAAGAAAAAAAAAATCACAAAAATTTGCTAGTATGCACACAATTATTCTGGTTCATTAAAGGAGTACAGTACATGAATTTCTACAAGCAATGGAAGTAATTCATTCAGTTATACAGAAAATAAAATGTAGTAGTTTCCACACAGTTTAAGTCTCGATGCCGTAGCATACTTCTGTGGGAAAGCAGGGTTGCTGAAGCAGAACAACTTCTAATATAGCGTTCTCTAACCACATTAGGAAAAAAGCCCCTAATATTCCTCAAAAGTGGAGTGCATTGTTATAACAATCACAAATTATGATTTTGGACACTGCCCAGTACATTCTGTACATATGCTGCCAGCTCGTGAATGCTTGTTTGTATTTTCGAGTCTTAGAGAATGTAATGGGACAAATTCTGTCCTAATTACAAGCATGCAATACCACTAATGGCTAAGGACATTTATTTTATTGCCCTTTCCTTCCTACCTTCAAAAACCAGGAAATGTGGAAAGAAGATGACATTGGCATTGAGGGTAGGAAGAAAACGGTGCAGACTCTGCCCTTTTCTTTCCCACCACTCCCCCTTTTCAAAATACAAACAGGGCCACGTTACAGTTAAAGGTGAGGTAGGAAACAGTGTTACTCCTCTCGGTCAGTTTCTCCCACTGCTCATTGTTGAATGCCTCCATCCTTCAATCTGCTTTTTGCATCCTTTCCTCTGCAGCTCTTACCTTATTAATCTTTCCCTGTCTCTGCAATATTTATTCACTCTCTCCTTATGCATTGTCAGCTGCTTCCCTCCACACCAGGTGCCCTTCCCCAGTCTATTCTTTACTGGTGCAAGGGAGATAGGAAGAAGAGTTCATGGTGGCCTAGGATATGACTACAACTGCAAGCAAATGGCTGCAGTACAGCTGATCTTTCTGTAGACATGTCACTCACAGCACTGCCTAGAGTAAGAGTGAGACAGCGACTCCATGTGGATTGGACTCTAATGCAATGGAGGAGTAGCTCAAGGACTTATGAAGGATTGCATACCCATGGTTCCACTATGTAATAGAACTAGTGGGGATAGCGGTGGGATACCTGTTCAGCCAGTTTGATGTTAATTGCACCAGCTTCAGTGGTCAAAATTTGCAAGTGTTTACAAAAACCATGACAAAACATGTTTTTTGTAAAAAAATCAACAGGGACTCTGATAAGCCCTGAGAACAAAGACAGTTCCACTTTTCAGGGACACTGTATGTTCTCTTCCTTTCCAAGCATAGCATCAGTAGCCTTGCATGTATGCAAGTAAGGGCAACATTCTGTCCTATGTAAATAAAGGGATTAGTTTGTTTTAGGGTATGACCTGAGCAGGAGGTTCGAGTGGTGATGAAACCATGTAGGAATTTATATTGGTTGATGGGCAGAGAGTTTAAAGAGAAAAACGAGGGGCAGGCATGGCATAGACCAATATAATATTTAACAAAAGGTGTGAATTAAAATCAATTTAATTATTTCAGTGCAAGTTTGAGCCCATGAAGGGGAGAATAAAGGCTTGTCTACACTCAGAATTCCACTGGTTTTAGCTAAAGGTGCAATTTTAACTGACATAGCTAAAACAGTGTACAAAAGGCTGTGTGGACACACTCAGTTTAAGTCAGATTTATTTCAGTTTCACTTAAGTCTACTAGGAACAGGTTGAAGCTAAAAAGTAGTAAGGCACTCTTTAATAACAATAATTATACCTAGCTCTTATATACAGGGCTGCTCAGAGGGGGGAGGTCAAGTGGGGCAATTTGCCCCAGGCCCTGGGCCCCACAGGGGCCCCCAGGAGTATGTCAGAGGCTCCCCTCCGCCCCCACCTTCCCACATCCCCGGGCATCTCAGCTGGTAAGGGGGCAGGGCTGTGAGCTGCAGCTGAGCGGCGGGACCTCAGGTCCCACTGGAAACACCACCCCGCTGCAGCGCTGGACGTGGCGCACTCAGGCTCCGGGAGAGGGGGTAAGCGGCATGGTAAGGGGCCGGGGCCGGGGCCGGGCAACCCCCGACCCCATCCCCCCACAGCCCTGACCCCCAGCTCCGAGCCTGACACCCCCCGACCCCATTTCTCCTCAGCCCTGACCCCCAGCCTTGAGCCCAGCCCCTCTGAGCCGGACTCCCCCCGACCC